ACTGATAATGTATTCATGTATCCTGCAATGTGCTAAGCCCTAGACAGACATCACTTGTTCAATGCTTACCGCCATATGAACAAAGACCAACCATTATCCCAACTGTACAGCTACGGCTTAAGGAGTTTAACCCATGACCTACCATCATCTCAGTGATGCAGTGTCAACATTTAGCTTACAGGTCCATCCACCACCCTCAACCTGCTGACTCTCAATACCACACCACTCCTCCCACACACTGAGGAACTAGAGCTTGGCACAAGCAAAGCACGTGCTCTATTGCTGAACTGTGTCTCTAGCCCCTGCCACAACCTTCTGTAGTAGAGGCTCTTCATCTCAATCTGTGTGTATGTATGCACCTAAGAGATCTAATTAACATCTGATTAAAGCTATGGATCCCAGAAAGAAACAGTTTACAGACTTCACATTAAAGATGTTCTAATGCTCTTATAGTACACACCAAGGACATTTTGACAGGAAATTAAAACACGCACAGGCTCCTTGTGTTCAGCTGGGCTCATCTGCTTACAGGTAGGCCTTAAAGCTTTCTTGCATCACTTGAATTGGAATGCGCTTTCCATTTTCTCAGTGAGAATGTCACGCCAGAACCCTGCTCCTTTCTCAGAACTTCATGCTTATTTCTTTTCTCTCCTTTCCTTTCAGTCCATGAAACACACAGATGCACAAATGTGGATAAAAACATGAGCTGGGTGGTTAACTCATGCCTATAATCCCAGCAGTTAAGGGGTGATATGGGAGGACCACGTTTTGAGTTTGAGGTCCATATCATAAGCAAAAAATGATGAAAAGGCAACATTTATTACTAATATAAAATGCAAATTAAATAAGACAGACCTTATTACCTGTTCAAAAATAGGGAAAAATTATAATTATGCTAATATTCAGTGCAAGGCAAAGAAGCAGATGATCAACCCCAGTATGGGAGAATAAGCAAGCATGGGCAATGCTACACCAACCAACCAACTAACCAAGTAACCAACTAACTAACTAAGTAAAGGTGTTCGAATCTTATAAAGAGATATACAATACTATTTTATTGTTTAAAAAAACTGTTAGTAAGCTAAATTATCAATAATAGGAGGCTCACTAATTATGGAAATACGATGAAATATTACCAAGCATAATAAAATGACCTTTTGAAAAATGATTTAATGATATGAAAGTGGTTAAGATACTTTAAAATGAGTTACAGAATAATACTGACAATACAATCCTATTTAACTTGAAAACATTTTTTTTTTGAGAAACAGAAATAAAAGGCCAGATTTAAAAAACAAATTTCAAACATCAACATTCTATTGGGTGTAATTATCAATTTTATAATCAAAGTAAAACCAAAAAATACCAAAACACCCCCAAAACAAACAAACAAAACAAAACCAGACCAAAGGCCACAGCCAAATCTATCTTTGTCCTTTCTTTTTTCTTGTGGATCACTGGAAAGAGTGAGGTCAGCTAATTCAGAAAGTGTTGAGACACTCAACAGCTCTAGGAAGAAGTAAGGGTGCCTAGCCACTTCAGTTACCTGCTTTGCTTGGCCTCATCTTGTTTTTAGGAAGGAAAGACACCCATATGAATCTGTGATAATATTTCTGATATAAAAGCAGGGGCTGCTGAGGTGGCCTGGAGCCAACAGAATTCTGTAATTATTTTTGCTGTAAAATAGGAAGGAGGAGAAAAGGTCTATAAACGCCTCCCCCCAAGGAGTGCCTGTATCCGCTGGTCCTGGAGGCCATGAGTCCTGGTAGCACAGGGGATCCGGGGCCTAGCGGAGAAGAGGATGGCAGAGTAAAAGGCAATGAACAGGCTCACACGCATAGCCTCGTAGAACATAAACAGAATCAAGCAATGCTAGGCTCCAACTTCCTGTCATGTTGGGATGCAGTTGGTGTCTTCAGGGCATATGGACAGAGAGTATTTATCAGGGCTGCCTTAGTTAGTCACAGCTTTACCTCTACTGTGCATGGGTCATGATCTTCTATACCGTCTTATGGGGCACCAGTTTATATTCTCAGTACCTTAACCTACCACCCAGTGCTTACTTTACTCCAAATTCTGTGGCCAATCATCTTCCATTCCTGCTAGATCTGGCTCACAAGCTCCTCTTCAGGCCTGAAACCATATCTGAATGGCTCTAAGAAGAACCATCTTTTATTTGGACTGTTCTTTAGACTTTTCTGGAGTCTGTGATGGATCTCCCCCAAGAAGTGTCCATTTCCAAGTTAGCTCTATTCTGACAAGTAAGACTTTATTCTTGTCTCATTAGTCTTCCTGATAATAAACTTTTTGATTTAGAAACAAAAGAACTGGTTGTGGTGGCGCACGCCAGTAGGATTTGCTGAGGGAGACAGAGGCAAGCGGATCTCTGTGAGTTCGAGGCCAGCCTGGTCTACAGAGCGAGTTCCAGGACAACCTCCAAAGCAATACAGAGAAACCCTGTCTTGAAAAAAACAAACAACAACAAAAAACCAAACCAAACCAAAACAAAACAAAAAGAAATCTTGTTGGCTTACTGGCAGATGCTTTGAGTTTATCAATACACAAGTGAGAAGGATCACAAGGACAGAGAAAGAATGAAGATAACCCATGCTGGTCTGGCCAGCTACCATTAGCTGGATAAAAGGGAACACCCAATTTTAATCCAGAGTAAATGGTATAGCACTCCAGGTGAAAGTGTCAACACACAAGACATATCAGAACAATCTGGGTCAGCTCCCATAGTACACCAATTTGTTGGATCTCTAAGAGTGGATAAAAATGATTGGCTTTTGTCTTAAAGCACTGAGATGAAGTACAAGGCACTGGTTTAGTTTGACAAAGAGGACCTACAGTGAGAAAGGGACAAGTCCAAGTCAAAAGTCCTGAGTTTGACAAGCACTAGCTTGCTTGGGACACTAACAGCTTTTCAATTTAATTACTTAGTTTTGGAGACAGGGTTTCTCTGTGTAGCTCTGTCTGTCCTGGAACTCAATCTGTAGATCAGGCTGGCCCCAAACTCATTTTTTTTTAAAAAAAATTGTTAAAACTTTATTTTTGAGATTATTCTTACCGTATTACCCAGGATGGTATCTAACTATTGCACAAGAATGGCCCTTTATTCTCACCTTCTGAGAAGTAGGACTACAGGCATGTGTCACTATGCTTGGCTGGAACTATGGGCTCTTAGGGTGTAGATCAAATGTTCTCTTACCAAGTATATAGCCAACAACATGAAAACTACTAGAAAAGAGGCAACTTTCAGCACTGAATAGTAGAGAATGTGATTCAACTTTATTATATGGCCCATCAAGTACCCAGAGCATACTTGGACTTCTCTCTAAGTTTGTCATCCTGAAAAGGTGAGGCTGAGGAGGAGCTGGGACCCAGACATCTCGAGTCTATTAGAACGGGTATCAAAAGCGCCTATGAAACTCACAGCAGCTCCACTGTGAGTGATGGCACTTGTACTTCAGGAGATGCTATGTGACTAGACAGCTACCTTCCCCTCGAAGTAGATGAGGACTCAGAGGGTTAGGGTTAGGGGTAGGGTTAGGGTTAGGGGTAGGGTTTGGGGGGTGGGTTTGGCGGGGTGGGGGGAGCGGGGGGGGGGGGGGGGGGGGGGGGGGGGGGGGGGGCCTAGCCACACAGGGAGCTTTTCCTTAATTTCCTGCATGGTCCTCTGTGTCCTGAATACACAGGTATAAGATGTCCCTTATCAGGCAGTACTCTGGCTATCTCCATTCAAGTTAGTGTAAGAAAGCCCCCCCCAGGCTGTGGTTGGAACATATAATTTGGAAAATGATTCACAGAAGTGATAATAGCTCTCTATACTCCAGTCATTCCTCTCCCCCAGGAGAACAGAATACTTCCTCCTGCAGCAACCGAGGACAGACACTGTGTCTTCCCCAGATGGCCAGGTATCTAGTGCTTATGGGCTGACCATAAAAACAAACAGTGCTAGAAACTTCTCTCTCTCTTTTTTATCTGAGACAAAGTTTCATTGTGTAACCCTGCTGTCCTTGAACTTACAGAGATCTGCCCACCTCTGCCTCCCCAGTGCTGAGATTAAAGGAGTGTACCACTATACCCAGCTGAAACTTCCCTTTCAGACATTTAATGCCACTAAGGAGCTCTCTGCCTAAATAAAAAGATGTTATCTATCTAAAAGTCCTTCCCAGGACTTGTAAATAACAACTTCTCCAATCCCACAGATACTTGATTTGTTCTGCTTAATTAATGAAACAATCACACACAGTCTCACAGATAAGGCTGGTCCTCCTCTTTGACCCAGACTTCTGAGGCACTTCCCTTGGAAGCCCAGGTCTTGGCCACTGACTGCCAGAGACTGCTGAAGTGGATCTAAAAGAGCTGGGATGGAGTTGTAAGCTTTTGCCACCATAAAACTTTATCCCTTTTGTTTATTTGGGTTAGTCACCAATATCCAGGAGGTCAAAGAACTGGGAAAGAAGGGCAGGGTGGTGGCATGTTACTGGCTAAATCTAGATGTCCTTGGTCAGGCCACACACATAACAAGAAGCAGAACCCACAGGACCAACCAGAGAAGTGCCTTGCTCACAGCCTGCCATGTACCCTGGGACAGATGATATGGTGGTACCTTTCTGATGAAGTCAGAGCATTCCACCCACCCATGCAGTAAAGAACAATGGAATACCTTACCCTTCAAGATAGTAAAGAAAAAAAATACCCTACAGCAAATTCTAAAGTATGTCTCAGCAAGTCTCATTTAGCAAAACAGCTAATTTTTAAAAAGGAGTCCAATTAGGTAGCCATTACAGACGCATTTTCCTTCAGGGAACCTCAAGGACCCTATTAGTGAGAGGAGTCAGAGGCCCCTAGATTTTCCTAGGCATCAATTGACAACCTATGAAGAAAAACTCAAACCAAGCTCAACCTCTTCCTAATGGATTTGTTACCAGCTGTATTGGGAAGGGTTAAGTGGAAGCGGGCGTGAATTCAATAAAATATTCATGACCTCTTACCATTAGCATCTTGGACTCCAGTGAGTGCTCCGACGGCTGCTGCGGTTTCCCCAGACAAGACTATCTGTCCCCCGCCTTGTAAGGTGGCTTCAGCCAGTGTGGCAACAGCATGGGCGGCAGCTTCACTGTGGGCACAGGGACAGGACAGAGGGGGATAAGCAAGATGAGTGAAGAAGGCACAAGACTGTCCTTCCCAGGTTCTCTGGGCTCTGGGGCGCTAGACACCAGAGCTAAATGGGTAAGAGCCAAGAGTAATTCTGAATGATACCAGACAGCTAGAGAGATATATTTCTAAAGCTAATATGAAATGTTCTTTAAAATGAAGTCAAGAGTGTTTGAGGACAGAGGGACAGAGGCATCATTGTCAGTCTTTCCTTACTGATAGCAACTGAGTGCCTGCAAACCAAAGTGGAAGCTCCCATCCACACTCACACAAAACCATTTTGGTTGTCAATTACAAGGTTTTCTTTTTTGCTTTATGGTAACACAAGACAGATCATCAGAAACTGTCCCTTTAAGCCAATGATGGATGATGATCTGAGGAGTTGGCAACCTGGACTTACTATCAATATATTTGAAACAGTTTATATATACACCCCTCAAATACGAAGCAACGGCTGACTACTAACTTGAAAAAAACAGCTCTTCTTTTTGCTTCACTTATATGCAGACAGCACTAAAAATGGAGACTCACCATTTAAAACCATTACCAAAGTTCTTGCCTCTGAAGTTGAGGAAACCAACAATTCCCTTTCCTACAAAGGCAACACTGCACAGAGCGAGCAGAGACATCTACCTAAAGGGAGGGCAGGTTGTAGTAGTTTGGGATCCATTTTTCCCCTTCTTTTCCTTACTATCTGCTTTTATGATATAAATAAGCATCCCATTTTTCTTGACTCTATAATGTCATACACTATAAGATAGACTATTTTTTTTTTAAATGTGCCAGTAAGGAAGAAAATTCCTAAAGGTATTAAAGACTAAAATTTGTCATCTGAATTTCAGTGATTTTAAAAACAAAAATAGGCCAGGTGGTGGTGGTGCACACCTTTAATCCCAGCACTCAGGAGGTAGAGGCAGGTGGATCTCTGTGAGTTCAAGGCCAGCCTGGTCTACACAGTAAGTTCCAGGACAGGTTCCAAAGCTACAGAGAAACCCTGTCTTGAAAAACCAAAACCAGCCCACAGAAATTTCTGAATCTCTTCTATGAAGATGGAGATTATCAGCTGACAATTTGTGGTCCCTGAGGGAGGAAAATTGAGCATGTAGGGTCTGAGTAGATAAGGCAGTTTACTGTGCAAGTCCAAGGACTTGCATTTGGACCCACCGCCCATATGAAAAAGGCTGGGCATGGCTGTGTGTCCTGCAACCCAGTGCTGTTGGGGCAGAAAGTAAGACAATGGGGCTTTCTGGCTGTCAGCTTAGTTCTAAATTCAGTGACAGACCCTGTCTCAGACAAAATGATAGAGAGGGACATCCAACACTGTCCTTTAGCCTCTATGTACACACAGGTGCAAGTTAACTGCAGCACTGAAGAAATGTGTACTTATACCACACATACTAAAAAATGAACACTGGCCAGCAAGATGGCTCAATAGGCAAAAGCATTTGTCACCCACGTTTGATGCCCAGTACCCACATGGCGAAAGCAGAGAGCCAAGTCCTACAAACCATCCTCTGACCTTCATATGTGTACTGTGGCCCATGCATATGTGCGCAGACATACAAAATAAATAAATACTAAAAAATGCCAGAGTGAGCATGAAGCAGAGAAAGTAGTGTCATTTAGTTTGGCAGAGGTCGGCAAAGGCCTGGTTCCATCTTCAAATAAGCTAATGGATGCAGTTCTGCTCTGAACCTGAAGGCTTTACACCAATACAGCTGTTTTCTTGCAATCCCAGGCTCTAGTAGGAACTGGTGAGGGAGTAGGGACTGGCTGTTGTAGACACGACACTGATCGGGGCATAGCAATGTATACCCTATTAAACACAGTTCCTTTATCGAAGAAGCTCAACAGGTAAAGCACAGTAATTCCCTAGGGAAGACAGACCCAACAGACAGAAAAGTCTTATTAAATAGAAAAGTCTCCCCTTTGTTCTAATCTGCCTTACTTTTAAGGTGGTTTTTCTTTTTCTGATATAAAATATATACATAGGAACCTTGCAAAATTTAAACTCTCAGAAATACCATCTAATACATATTAAACAAATAAGCAGAATCATACTGAAGTTTTGTTGGTTTTGCAGAGCTGAAGACCAAAGTCAAGGCATACTAGGCCACTCTTCAGAAAAGACAGCTGTAGCAGGTGCCAGGTAGAAGATGAGAAAACAGGTTTATTCTTGAGAACAAAGGAGATCCTTAGGTAAAGCCAATGCTTTATATAGAAAAATTATGACTCCACAGACAGAATAAAGGGCCTGTACAACATAGACATTGGTGGAAACACTACAGCCAGACAGCTGCAAATGAACCCTGCCTTTAATTTCATCATTCGGGAGGCTGAGGCATGAGGAACACCACAAGTTCGAAGCTAGCCAGGGTTATCTTGCAAGACCTTGTTCTGGGGTAGCTGGAGTAGGGAAGTCATAGCTGGGGCCTATATTCCCTTCAGCAGGCTCAGCAGGAGTATCCAAATTGTAGAACACAGAGTAAATTCAAGGTCAGCTTTGGCACCTTTGTGACACCTCGTCACAAAATTAAGACTCAAAAAACAACTGAGGAGGAACCAGGCATTGGTGGCTCACGCCTTTAATCACTCAGGAGGCAGAGGTAGGTGGATCTCTATGAGTTCAAGGCCAGCCTGGTCTACAGAGCGAGTTCCAGGACCGACTCCCAAAGCTACACAGAAAAACTGGGTTTCGAAAAACCAGGAGGAAAAAAAAAAAAAAAAAAAAGAATGTTGCTTTAGTATATAGATGGACATTGGTCCAGTAAGGTGGGATGGATAACATAAATCAGATTGTCTTTCCTATAGTAGGTAAGGACTACGATCTTTCCTGTAGATTAAAATTAGGCATCTACAAACAAAAGGTAGGGGGCTGGGCAGTGGTGGTGTGCTTCTTTAATCCCAACACTCAGGAGGCAGAGAAAGAGGGGTCTCTGTCAGTTCAAGGCCAGCTTGTTTTACAGAGCAAGTTCCAGGACAGCCAGGGCTGTACAGAGAAACCCTGTGCGTGCGTGCGTTCGTGTGGCGGGAGAGGGAGTGATAGGAGGGTCTTGGAGATAGTTTAGTTAGTAAAGTGTTTGTGTGTGGCAGGGGTTCCCACAGACCTGAAATTGAACTTTGCTAAGTAGCCCTGGCTGACCTGGAACTTCTAGCTAATCTCCTGCTTCTGCCTCTGAAATGCTGGAATAAGGGCAAGTGCTTATTTATAAAATACCATGGTCATTCATTCATTCATTTTTGGTTTTTAAAGACAGGGTCTCTGTGTGTAGCCCTGGCTGTCCTGGAACTCACTCTGTAGACCCGCCTGCCTCTGCCTCCTGAGTTCTGGGATTAAAGGTGTGCACTGCCACCACCGCCTGGCTGCTATTTTACTTCTTTTTAATGCAGTCTCCACAGTTAAAGAAGGGCACATTCTAAGTTCCCTGAAAAGAAATGACCCAGGCACCAGCTTCCTCAGAATGCTAAGTGGAGGCACCGTGCTCAGCAGATACACAAATACCACACTGACAACACAGGGTAAAACATGTTTTTCCTAAGGTCTACAAGCCCAGTCTACAAACCCCTACCATGTATCTCTATGCAGAGCTGCACTGGGGACTTGAGAAGTTTCTTTGCAGGGGGTCCAATTAAGAGGTATGATGACTTCACTCCCCTTTCCCTGCTGCTTGTGTGAACTGAAAAGCTGCTTTTTGTTTGGTGTGTGTGTGTGTTATGCTTTGTTTACCATGATTCCCTTCCCACCTCATTCCTAAAAGTGCTGTTTTATTCTTTATTTGAGACATTAGAATAAACACTGTTTTCAGTATTTAATACTGGTAATTTTTCCACAGCTCTTTGGGCTGTTATGAAGCTAGGGTGGGCTAAGGCTGTGTAGCTGTGGATCCTGTTCTGACTTGCTGTAAAAATTCTTTTAACAGCATAGTTGAAAAACAGGTCTGTCCTGCAGCTGTCCTGACCCCTTGCTTCCTCGCTAGTGATGAAGGAGCCTCTCCTTCTGAGGCCCCCATCTGCCTTCCTCACAGCTCACTTCTTTCTCACCCTGCACTCACATCTGCTGTTTACAGTGCAGCAGAGGTGCAGGTGGTTATTAGAGAATCATGGTTGGTCCATCTGCACCTGAAACAGAGACTGGCAGCAGATTATGAAATTACTTTGTTACCATAGGAACAAAGACCGTTCTCTGTGTATTTTTCATCAAGAGGACTTTCAACAATGAATTTTGTAGGGATAAAGGATTCCATTGCGTCTCATGCATAGAGACTCCTCAGTAAGGGGTTGTCTCAGACCCAGCCCTCTTGACAAAGCCATTCACCCATGGGGTATAGCTTGCTTTGCTGCCAGGCTTGGTTTCTGCCAGAAGCTGCAACACATCACCCCTAGGACTCATTGAGCATTGGACTGTCTGATTGCAAACAGATTTCAACATCTCTTTGCTCCTCCTTCAAGCCATGGAGCACCACTCTCCTTTCTGGAATAAACAGTGTAGCCACCTCAGCAGCACCTGAGTTTTGCTAACAAGTTCTCAGGGGAACCATTATGCTCAGTGTCTTTAGAAATGAGCTGTTCCTCACAGCAAAGGGAGTCAGAATGTGTCTCAGACTTTCCACTATGTGCAGGGTTCCCCGGATACCACAGGTCACTGAAGTCAAGGTGCTTACTGGAAGACTGGTTTTGCTGGTCTTTATTGATGACTTATTAGACCCAAAGTAACAGTAAGGGGTCACCAGACTGAAGGTAGGAGACTCTCCCTCTAACAAAGCCCTTCAGGAAATGTATGAGTACCAGAAAGGAAGGAGTGGAAGAGGAGGACCATCATGTAAAGAACAGTTAAGACTTCCGGCTGGGAAGCCCCAGCTCCAGGTCATGCAGACACTCATTAGGTGAGTGTGAGAGGCCAAGGATGAGCACATGCCTCTGTATTAGTCTTAGGTGTCTGACCAACCACATCTTGGCCATGGCTCCCTTCAGGGGACTGGTTTCCAAGCCTTTAACAAAGCACACCTAGATTCTGGGTTGCTTCATCCTGACTGCTTTTATAATCATGCCTCATCATCACAGTTCTGACTAGACAAGTCTTAAAGTACAGCTTGAACCCAGGGCCTCACACACGCCAGACTCTCCAACGACCAAGTCCTCAAGTCCTTCAAAAGTGTCATTCAAATAAGATGAGCATGGTAGCTCACATGTACAATCTCAGTACTCAGGAGGCTAAGGCAGGAGGGTCGCCACGTGCTCAAGGCCAGCCTGGGCTACAGAGTGAGACCCTCTGGAAAGAAAGAGAAGGGGCAGAGGGAGGTGAAAAGAGGGAGAGCGATAGATGGAGGGGAGGAAGGGAGAAGGAAAGAAGAAAGGAAGATAGATTTAACTCCTGAAGTGGTAACATGAACTGGATGCCTCTATGAGCTTTATATACATGGTCTCTCTGGGTCTGAGTCAGTTGGTGACTATTATCCTACAAGAACAAAGAGGAAAATAAGACTAGGGGCTAAGTTTCTCAAATGGTTTGGCTGGGATTCAAACCAGAAATCCTCTTTTCAACAACACACTGTACAGCCTCATACAGCACACTGCACACCAACATATCAATGCTCTCTAGCCATCTATACCTACTGATCTACTTCTTATTTCACAACAAAAGCAGTATCCTCCAATCCACACATCAGCTGATTTTTGTATTCCAGGAAAGGTAATTCCTCTCTGGATTTCTACAGTGTCCATACTCAGAACTCCACAACATAACACTGAAGGACATTGTAGTATAACCTGTTAGGTGGTTTGAGAGCCGAGACTGTGCTGCCATGCCATGGAGGTCAGGGACCATGTGAGACTACAGGCCATGCAGGGTGACTAGCATCAGCCCTCACCACATGCCAAGGCACTGAGATCCTAGGATCTCACCTCCAGTGACTTCAGTTGTCTTACCCTTCCTCAAAGCAAGCATAGGTATTACTCCCAGTCTACAGAAAAAGAAACCCTGGACACTGAGAGGGTAAATAAACTGTTCAAGGTCAGCCAGGTAGCAAGTGATAGGACAGAGTGACGTTAAGGTCCCTATTCTTAATGATTAATGAAAATGCCTGGGTCAGCTGAAAATAGTGTCAAGAATGAAGAATAATACGGGGATGATCACCAGGAAGAAATGGCCAGAAGGGAACATGCAATTCTGTTTTGGAAAAGGCCTCTTTCTACTTGCAGTGATCTTCTTAAATATCCCTAAAGGGAAGAGGGCTCAATTTTCCTTGGTGAGAGCTGATTAGAAACCAAAGTACAGTTAATTCAGTATTAGAATGTTTGCTTAACATGCCTAATAGCCTGGAAGCTCTACTCCCAGGACTGCAGAAAACAAAGCCATCCTGCCTCCAGTGTCTTATGAGCTTGAAGGCAGCCCTAACTGTCAGCTCTGATGAGGAGGAATACATTGCATCTCTTAGGACAGACCTGCAATCCCTTTTATCCCCCACCCCTGCCTCCACCTGTTGAGTGCCATGGTGACAGTAGCTCCCTGCTGCATCTCCTGAGAAGCTGCCACTGCGGCTTCTGCCAGCGATGCCACTGCCTGAGTGGCCTCTGATGCTTGTGTCGTCTGGATGGTCATTTCACCTCCCTGTAATGTGGCCCAGTTTTGTTCCACCTGAGGCAGAAAGGACAAGGACGGTCAAAAGTCAAAACATAACATCACCATGTTTTCAGCCAAATGAATGCATACACATGACCTATAATGAATGGGGAGAGTTCTGTTGGAATTTACATTTGAATTTGATTGTGTCTGTAGCAGGAAGTTTTGGAAGCACACAGAGAAATCATTGAAAATACTTTGAGTCAAGTATGGCACCTGCCTAAATCCCAGCATTCAGGAGGCTCCCAAGTCCCAGGTCGGTTTGGGCTACATAGCAAGACCATGTCAAGAAAGACAGAGAAGGAAGGAGGCCGGGGGAAAGAAACAGAAAACTGTGTTGGGTTTGGATGGGAGGCAGAAGGCAGACTTGGCACTATCTACTTCTAAGCAGTGCTTTCCTTGGCCATGTTTGCTTGAGTGCCTGTCACTCTTTCCTTCCTTCCAGTGTGTGACTGTATGTGCCTATATGCTACCACGTTCCAAAGAGAGAGCTCTAAGGCCAAGATGCAGCGCTGTTCAGAAGATGTCCTATTGCCTTGCTGTGCTGAGTTTCAAATGGTGGCTCCTCCTATGTCTAACGTGAATGAGCCACTGTAGCCATCTCACATTTTCAAAGCTCAGGGCATGGGGTGCTTGCTGCCTTGGCTAGAACACACTCCTCTCCCTGCATCCTCTGCTTTTGCTTGTTCCCCCAGTCTGAACTCAGGTCTATTAGTCCTCTGGAGAGCAATCAGAGACAAGTCCACTGCACCACCCCAGGGCCCCACCTCTTCCCGCTGCGGCTGCTCACTGAATGGTTTGCTATGGGTTTCCCCACCACCGTGTGTGGTCCCTTATGGAAGAAGGTAGCATTTATTGTCCTATATCTAGACTACAGAGCCTGGCAGAGAGCTCCAAAAGCATTTTACTGAATGTGTGGGTGGAGAACGTACTCCTTTATTTGTCTGCTTGTTATTGAGCCTGTCCATATTTCAGCTGAATGTCATACAATTTCAAAGCCATCACACATGCTGGCATCACAGCTTGAATTCACAGCTTTAATGTCTTTATACTTGGGTGGTTTTTCCTTTGTTCAGCAGAATTACATATACTATTATCATCGGATATCATTTGATTTTTCTGATGTCTAAAGCAATCAACATGACCAATATCAATTGGTGGTCCCATTGCACAAACAAATCATTTTTTAAGCCAATTGCATGTCTGAATAAATTTCATATTTTAAAAGCCAACATACATAGTTTACTTTAGAATTTAATGTGGAATTCTCAATGTCCATGTAATTTGTACAGTGTCCTTAAATAACTTTAAACGCTTAAGATTAGAGATTGTTTCTTTGCCCCTACTTACTTAGATTGCCTATGCACAATCTGAAAAGACCTTTGTCATAAAAGTACTGAAAGGATAACCCCTTTTATTATGTATACAATACACAAAATACTATATTATAAATGTGAAAATCTAAGTTTCTAATAGGCTGGTTGGAGTTGTAATGATCCACAAACTTTGTTACAATTAACATACACAGTATAAAATACTTCTCCAAACTGTCATTGTCTGACAGATATCATAAGAGTTCAAATAACATAGGCTGCCCTTCATCTTCTGGGCCCTTACCTCTCCTTACTTATTCATGCACTGTTTCAACAGGAGCATACAGAAACCTTTTTCTTACCTCTCCATCAGCCACAGCAGAATAATTCACTTGGGCAACAGTGACCGTGGTTGGCAGTTCTGAAGCATCGGCCAATGTAGCTACTGTTGCCCCTGTACCAACCTAAGAAGCATAGAAAGTTAGGTGTCAGTGGATGGGCCCCACTACCTGGCCCTTACATATAAGCTAAGACTCACTGAACCCCAATTTCAGAATAATGTCTGGTGACATGAAGAGAATTACTAAAATCATCTCTCAGGGACCAACCAGCCTAAGTTTCAGAAATTTACTTCAACCAAATCAATATAAGAAGAGTGATTGCATTCTATTCTAGCTCTTGGTGCCAGTCAAACAGTATTCTACTCTAACCCTAACCTGAACTTTAGAGATTCCCTATCTATCAATAAATGGTGTTTCACCTCTGAAAAGGTAGTTCCCTGGTGTGTGTTCTCAAGTACCCTTATCTCTCTTTTACCCTCCCTCCCCAAATCCTCCTCTTTAGTTCTTTCTACAGGTAATGGCAAGCATTACCACTCAAGTGGACCCTAACCAAGAAACCATTTCTAAATGCCTGGTTTGGAAGTGTCCCACAAGCTACTTACAGCTTGGAATTAACCAAAGTGCAAACAATATAAAATACTGTCCCAAGGCTGGAGATAAAACGTGGCCATGTGGTAGAGTACTTTCCTAGTGTGGGTGAGACACTCCAAGCATCACAAGGAAATGAAACAAAAACATAACTAGAACCCTGTTTAGAAGTTAATTCTAGGTACAAGAGCAGGTACACAGCTATATGATGCTCAGAGCCAAGTATCTGCATCAGAAACTTCTCTAGTGGGAGGTGAGAGAGACGCCACTGACCCACCTCCAGCCCGTGCTTACCTGGATGAGCGACACGGTGCCATCAGGATTGCTGAAGGTCTGTACTACGGTCTGTGATGGTACAAGATGGGCTATACTGTGTGTGGTGGTGGCCTGTGTTTGTGTTTGCTGATCTTCAAAAGCATATAAAAGATCTTCCCTCCCATGTTGCTTATAACAATTTTTAACTATGGTCCGTAATGCCTGGGTCCATGAAACCTGCCACCAAAAGACAAGGAAAGCACAAAAAGTCACAAAGAACTTTTGTATTTAGGCCACTATGAACTAATCAGCCATATATTTATTGAACCTTTTGCGGAGTTCATCTCAGGATTCCCCACAGAATTATTCTATAACAAATAAACTGATGTTTTTTTGTTTGTTTTTTTCCTGCTTTCCTTCCTAACCAAGGTCTGATTTAGCTTTCGGGTTTTATGTCCTATTCCAAACTCTCAAATTTCTTATAAGAGATATCACTCTGATCAATAATTATATACTGTTTCTTAATAAACTTCCAGGCAAAATAAAAAGCCAAATGTATAGAGAAAGTAGGGAATGTTATCTAGTTCAGTCTTTCTTCTCCAAGTGCTGGGTAACTAACACACACTTAGCAGACTTCCCCTCTAACCCTGTACTAATTTCAATAGTGATTCTTTCAAAAATTTTCTCTCTGTGTGTGCGCACGTGCACTCGAGCACTTGTATCTATGTGAGTGTGTCCAATGTGTGAAGGTGCCCATAGAGGTCAGAATAGTGTTGGATCTATAAGGGGAAATCAGTTATCAGCTGTATACTGTAGAAAGAGTTAAATAATTCCTTTCCAAAATTTAATTCTGTGTCTTCATTACCAGCTGGATTAATTACTGGTCCTGGAACTACAGTTACATGTGGCTGCGAGTCACATGACTGCTAGGAAATCAATCAGGTTTTCTGCAAGATCAGCAAGCACTCTTAACCACTCAACTATCTCTCTAGACCCTCAACAGTGATTATTTTTGCTTACTGTTTTCAGGTAGGCTTGGCCTAGAACTCACTATGTTGTCCAGATTGGCCGCAAACTAGAGATTCGCATGATTCAGCCTCCTGAGTGCTAGGGTTATAGACATGTGCCATAATACCCAGCTCAACAGTGACACTGGATAATCAGAAATAAGGACATTTCTAAGCTTTCAAATGACTAAATACTCTTACTTTAAGTTTTTCTGGATTTCTCTAATACTTTAAATACCATAAAGCTTTTGCAAAAGGCAACTATGAAGGAACAAAGTGTAAATCCACAGGAAGGGCTGTACAAGGAGAACATCCAACTTCTTTGGAGGGACAGGCTTAACTATTATAAAATGTTCTGAGAGTCTGTAGCAAAAGAAGTGACAGAAATTGAGGCAAAGCAATGGGCGACTCAGAGGAACTTACTCTCTGCTTTTGCTCTTCTGTGCGGACATCACTACGGACATTGGCCCATGGGATGTCTTCTGGCCACCAGATAGGTTTGCAGCTTTCTTTCCCCCAGCCTGGTTTTCCCCGACCTGTGGAATACTTGAGCATCTCTGGGATAAACGCCCGAAGCTGAGCCTGAAAGAGAAGAGTATGTCATCACAATGAACTCAGGACCAACACCTGGGGTGTGCTCACACCCCCACCTAATCCTAATATCATGAAACAGAGCCTTCCTGAGGGTGCCAGAAGATTCCAAATGTGACTGCTGACAGGCCATTGCTTCTGACAGGTTACATCTGCCCCATGGATGATTGTGGAGGATACATCTGTTGGCTAAGGAGAACTTAAAAGCTTGGTAGACTTTTTCTTAAAAGATCAACAATGTCTATCTGCAAACTTGATTTCTGTCTCCTGAGATATTACTGGCAATAGGGCTTATGTTTCTTCTATATCTTCTGTAACTTCCATGAGTTAATGGTGTTGTCAGCACTGTTCTGAGGTGGTAGTCAAGCAGATAACAGAAGAATAAACAGGACCATCAATATCTGTAGATGAGATGACTCTGGAACACGGACTCCAGAGAGTCAAAGGAAAAATACTACAAACACTGAAAAGTGGATTACATCCACAAAGAGGTAGACGCTTATGAAATATATGAAAATAAATTGCTTTCCAGATAGTAAGGTGAAAATAATCCAAGAATTCTTCTACCAAGTTCCTTGGAAGTTGGGCCAGTGCCCACAAGTTTCAGAGGCAGATGTATATACATTATGGACTTCACTCAGCTTGCTTTTTGCAAGGTTAACTGAGACCAAAGTAGGTTTTAACCACAGTTAGTGACATACTTATTTCCTGCCATAGTAACTAGGGTGAGGACTGTTCAAGAAGAGCAGCAGTTCATCAAGTTAAAATCTCAGGTCCTGCATAGAGAGCAGCACCTACATTCGCCAAGGACACATCTGTGCAGCCTTTCTAACATAGCACCAGGAGAGGAGCATTCTGAGCCAGGAGTCAGATTCAGAGTGAGTATGCCAATACTGTGATATGGAAGAACATATCTACTCGTGTTCCTCCAGTTCTTCTACCAGAAGACAATACAAACTGTCGCATAGTAGGGAACCACGAATTCAAGTCATCTATGCTTATGTAACAAGACAGGCCTGGCTAATTCCTGTGCAGACAATGCCACTTCACCTCTTTCTAAGTGCTTCCTATTCAGACAGTCTCCTGCTTACAGGCTCTGATATAATATACTCCAGGTATATTTGTCTCTGAGGCATCAAGCAGCAGGCTAATAGAAATGTATCCATTTGCAAATCCATGCCAGCAGCTGGCTCATGAGGTCATTCCTCCAGTTATTTTAAGAAAGTACATCTCAAAGTCATTTCTCCTTTATCCTGGTTTCTTTCTTGAGTATCTTTCTCTAGCCTCAGATAAATAGAGCAGAAAAGGGCTTACATGCATTTCATATTTCTTCATACAAAGCAATAGCTATCTAAAATGCACAAATGAAATAAACAGATACTGTAAACTGAAAAGTTCCCTTTTTAGTCCCATTAGTAACCCCTCTCCCCACAAAAAAGGAGAGACTTTTTGTGTTGTTGTTTGGATTTTGGTTTTCAAGGCAGGGTTTCTGTAGCTCATGCTGGCCTTGAATTCAGAAATCACCTACCTCTGCCCACCCAAATACTGGGATTAAAGGCATGTATCATCGATACACAGTTAAACTACTTTTAAACTGTCCCAAGTAAATGCTAAGACTTTTAAAAAGACTTAGAGAAACTCACCCCTGCTCGCTTGCTCTCTCTCTCAAAAAAAAAACCCAGCAACAATATTAATAGTAGTAACAATAATAATAATAATAAAATATTCTTATAAATATGTATCTCAGGCTGGCTTTGAACTTGAGATTCTCCTGCCTCGGCCTATTCAGTGCTGGGACTATAGGTGTAGATAGATCATCATGCCTGACCTGAAGGGGAAATCAGTTATCAGCTGTCTAACCTAGAAAGAGTTAAGCAATTCCTTTCCAAAATTTAACTCTGTCTTCATTACCAGCTGAATTAATTACTGGTCCTAGAGAGTCTGGGAAAGCAAAGCTTCTCAATATGCTTGTTAAGGAAGATTGTTTGTAATCCACTGGGAGACAATCAACAGGATCAGAGGCAAAGGCACGGCCTTACTTCTCAGGCTGTGCTTTAATGGGCTAGAATACGCTTGCTTGGCTGCTCTCTTCTGACCTAGGTCTCCTTGTGAGCCTGCAAGGCCCTAGGATGGCCAATAAGCTTACTCGAAGTAGAAAATACTACTCCTTCCAGGATTCAGCCAAAGAGAAAATGATATCAAATTCACGTCAATAACAATTAAAAGTAAAGATTATAGGAGCCAGAGAAAGGGCTCACTGAAGAACGCGTACTGCTCTTCCAGAGGACCCAAGTTTGATTCAGTCCCAGGGGGCCCGATGCCCTCTTCTGGTGTCTGCAGGTGCTGTATGCATGTGGTGCACAGATACATACACGAAGGCAAGACACTCACACACACAAAAATAAAGACTGTGGAAACTAAACTGGGTCTGGTGACATACATCTCTCAGGCCTCGGGAGGTGAAGGCAGGAGAATCACTTCAAGGTCATCTTTAGCTACATAACAAGTTCAAGGACAGTCTAATTGAAGGGCTGGGGACACTAAATGGTGTAACACTTCATTAGCATATTTGAGATATGGGTTTTGATCTCAAATCTAGATATATAACAAAAGCACAAAACAGCTAAAATGAAACAATAACTCTTACTATATTTGTAAATTCAGTTACTTATCTGCTGTTCAGCAAGTGCATACCCTCATACCCTCAACACATTTAAATACCATTCACCCCTCATTCCCTCTCTTTACTACAGGGATTTTTGAGGCTCTTCGTTGGTATTTAGGCTCAATTGTAAGAAAGGAACTTTCAAGTTACTATGTCTCCCAACTCCATCTCTGCTGAAGTGGTCAGAAAGTAGAGTCAGTCTTCCATACCTGTGAGTTGTATATCTAAAGATTCAACCAACTGTGAAGCAAATACTCAGGGTATTTTTAAAATAAATAAATAAATAAATAAATAAATACAATTTATATAAAAATATAAATATAAAATATAAAAAAATAAAAAAAATCAGCTGGACAGTGGTGGTCCATGCCTTTTCCCAGCATTTGCAAGGCAGAGGCTCCAAAGCTACACAGAGAAACCTTGTCTTGAAAAACAAAAACAAACAACCAAACTAATTACCTGTACTGAATATGTACCAACTAGCCTTTTCTGTCATTATTTCCTAGATAATACAGTCTAACAATTACTTATATAGCATTTGTATTCTACTGGGTGGTGGTATAAGATAATGCAGATATGATTTAAAGTATATAGAAGGATTCAGATAGATCTCAGACAAACACTATGTGCCATTTTCTGTAAGGATGTGAGCAGTGAGCATCTGTGGACTTGTGTATCTGTAGTGAGTCCTCTATGAGGAAAACTTCATAACAAATTTCTTTCTTTCTTTCTTTCTTTCTTTCTTTCTTTCTTTCGTTCGTTCTTTCTTTCTTTCGTTCTTTCTTTCTTTCTTTCTCTTAGCCATTGAGCCATCTCTTCAGCCAAACTTTCCCATACTTCTTTCAGTGAGCTATTTACAATGCTTTGCTTACTTTTCTAATTTTTTTTTTATTAATCTGAAGGAAGCACTAATCTGTTCTGCATATTAAAGTTGCATATATTTCCTTGGTCTTATTGTATCCTAAATGTATAGTTTACATGGTCATTATCTTTTTCCTTAGCATTCTTGAATACACTTTATGTTTCTCTGCTTAAAATATACTATGCTCTATTTAAGAATACTTTAAATGTCTAAAAAGTTATTACAATTTCTTTTTGTTTGCCATGCATGCCATGGCACTGGTATTGAGATCAGAGGACAACTTTTTTTGTTTGTTTGTTTTGTTTTTCGAGACAGGGTTTGTCTGTGGCTTTGGAAGCTGTCCTGGAACTAGCTCTTATAGACCAGGCTGGCCTCAAACTCACAGAGATCCACATGCCTCTGCCTCTGCCTCCCAAGTGCTGGGATTAAAGGCATGTGCCGCCACCGCCCGGCTCAGAGAACAACTTTTAAGAGTCAGTTTTCATCTTCTACCATGTGGGTCTTAAGTATTGAATTTTGGTTGTATTAGGCTTAGAAGCAAGTGCCTTTACCTGCTGAACTAATTTGTTGGCCTACACCATATATTTTTGTTATTTCTTAATTCTAATCTGCCTTCCTACACACACACACACACACACACACACGTCTGGCGATTTGAACTTAGTCCTCATAATACTTGTGTGACAAGCCCTTTGCACACTCCCAGCCAGGTGGAGGCTATAGAGGAAGATGTCTTCCTGTCTTCCTTCCTTCCACATCCCCCACCCCGACTCCATCTCTCTCTTCTTGGTGGCACTGAAGATTGAGCCTAGGGTCTGGTGTGTGCTAGGTAAGCACTTCACTACTGAGCTATGTCCCATCCCTTCTGCCTGATACTTTATAAAGCATGGCGTGGCATGGCATGTCACACATTCATCTCTGAAAACCTCAGATAGTAAGAAAGGCTACTGAGGGCGGCGGCATAGACATGCAAACCAAGCATTTGAAAGTCAGAGACAGGAGGACCAGAAGCTCAAAGCCAGGCTGCCTGAGTTACATGATACCCCACCCACAGAAAAGGAAGCCTGCTTTGAATGGAGAGGCAGTTTGGAACTTCTGTTTATAACAGTGGATAATTCAAAATCAGAGGATTTAAAACTACAGCTGTTTGAGTTCCATCCACAAAGATGCAGACTAACTGGCCTGCAGTGTGAACCATTCACTGAAGCTCTAAATTCCCCAGGTGAGTTAGTGTGAAGCCAACCTTGAAGACCACCAAACTTAAATACATTTTAATCCAGCTCCCCCTTTCTCTGCTTCAAATAACCCTAATGTACACAATTTGGGGACATTTAGTGCACTCACTATGTATGATCATTAACACTATTTCCAGAATTTTGTTTCACTATCATCCCGAACAGAAACTCTGTTAAAACTTTAACTCCATTTGGATTCCCCCAGTCTACTTTTTATCTCTATGGCTTT